AAAAAAAAAATCTTGCTGAAAGTGTTAGGAGAAAATTCTCAGCAATTTTGAAGCTTTAAACTTTTCAGAAGTGAAGCAGAATAAACAAAAAAATACAAAGTCTTACTCTTACTCCCCCATCCCCTCCCTCCCCCCCAAATCCCACTGAAATTACCACCTCAAGTTACAAGAGCTGTAGCTGCAGTCACCACAAGTTACTCAAGAATGATACTGAATAAGCTTTTGGGTTTTTGGGAATGACAAAGGTGGTTTCATTTCTAATGTTCATAAGTCATCCAAATTAATTAGTGCTTTAAAACGGCAATGAATCACTTCCCGAAATAATTTGTATTGGCTAAATTAAAACCAGTGAAGGGAGCCAATTTGCTGATTGTAAATTATCAGAGGCCCTGACTAGTTTGTGTGTACATTGTGTACTGTTTATTAGGCTACTGGGAAACAAAGGATGGCTACTTTTCATCACTGAACAAGATTACAGCCCTATTAAATGACCAGCTTATTGTGAAATAATTATGGGATTCTATTTACAGAATTCAAGCCAGACATCATTAAATACAAAGCTGAGTGTCGAGAGGAGAGGAACAAACAAATGGAGGAAAAGCTTGCTTTCTGAAGAGCTGCACCAAAATCCACCTGAAGGGAATATTTCCATCTCCATAGATTAACGAAAAGAAGTTCAGAGATGCAAAACTAATTATGTAAATGCTTCTGTCACATGACAGTGCCTAAAGGCAGCTTGAAGCCTGAGTCCCTCAGCCTTCTCCTCTCTGTTGCTGCTGGACAATTGTTTCCAGAGCCCCCTAAATCCAGATGCCTTCTGAAGAGTGCCAACAAGATGAGAAGACACACAACCAGCTGCTGCCATGTAACACAGAGGAGATGGATGCACAGTGCTGCCATTTTTCCACCTGCTGTGGTCCTCCCAAACCACCCAGCACACACATACATACATAGGTAAGGTTTTACCTAATCTAATTTACACGACATTTTCCTGCTCATGTCTTTATCTCCTTACTGGTATCAAAACCTTAACATTTCTGCTTGAGAAACCTTTCCCCAGCTAACCTGCTTATCAGCAGTAATGAATACTCATGCAAACAGGTACAAAATTAAATGGCTTCTTTACAGTGATTATGATAGATTGAGCCACGCTTAATCTACATAATCAAATTGCTTCTGTGTTCAGCAGTAATACCTTTTTGCTGTCCTGGGAGCAGGTTCAGCATTGGTTTCTCTTCTGACAGCTTCTGAGAAATGCTAACTGCAGATGAGAAAGGCGCTGGTTGAGATGCAATCGTTTAACACAGATGTGTGAGGCACACCCTGAACTCTGCAATATAGGAAACCAGGTCTAACGAAAACCGCTCCTTTTAGGGAAGGAGAAAACATCATGTCTTTAGTCTGCTTGGATGCGAATGAAATAAAAGAATGTTTTTAGCCATTTCAAGACCAGACTTGGGTTTCAAAACGAGTAAGCTAAATCTTGCCAAGGTACCAGAAATAGAGGCTGTATTACAAAAAGTAGAAGAGGTTCAGGTTGGAGATTAGGAAAAACTTCTCCACAAGAGTGGTGGGGCACTGGCACAGCTGCCCAGGGAGTGGTGGGGTCACCGTCCCTGGAGGTGTTACAGAGCCATGCAGATGTGGCACTGAGGGATGTGGGCATGGTGGGGTGGACTTAGGGGTCTTTTCCAACCTTCATTATTCTATGATTCACCAACATATCAAGTCACTTGGGCCAAAAATTTCCCAAAGCCTTTTCTGCTCTAGGGGAAAAAAAGTGAAAAACGGCATTCATCACCAGGTACAAAAAAGTGCCTTAAAAAAAATAAATAAATAAACTAACCCATTTACTTGTATTGAAAATGCAGCATCAAGAGAAGCACGAAGGCTTGCTTCCTCAAGTACACGCTGAAACATTTGTTCTTTTTGAATAGTCTAACGGAAACATTAGCCTACAAGCTACTACTCATTTCTAAACATTACCTAAGAGCTGAAGAAGTGAATAAGCCTTATGCAAAATGCTAATAAGCACTTACAGAGAACAATTTCTCTAACTCGTTATGGCTTTGACACACGTGGAGAAAACACACTGCCTGGACCTGTGCAGCTGGAGAAGTGACAGATCTCTGCATTGTCTTAAGCAAGGGAAGACCATGGAAGGGGGAGAAAAAAAGAAGAGCTGGGTTCTGGCAAGGGCTGCTGGCACAGCTTGACTTTGGCTCAGAAGGAAGGAAAAGCATGAGTTACACAAAAATAGGTTTAGGAAAGAATCAATGACATTTCATCTGAAAGTTTTAGCTTAAGTTTTAATTAGGATCCAAGATTTTGCACTTAACTGCATGAAGCAAAGGAATACACGTACTGATGCTTCCCGAGATAACTGACAGATCTGAAACTTACCCATTTCATCTCGAAAGGTTAATTAAAGAACAATCCTTGAGAGCAACACCGTAGGGAAACAGAAAAGAGTCTGCTCCACCTGGGAGTCCTGGGGAAAAGCTGGCAGGCAGCGCCCGCACCCCCACCTGGAAAGCTCCAGTTTGCAAACTGTAATCAGTGCACAGTGACCACTGCCGTGGAGAGCCAAAATGATTTTGAACTGGCCCAGCAAGACACTGAGAAGAGCACAGAGCTTGCCCACAGTGCTCGCTACGGCTCCTGGGCAAGTGCTGCAGTCTGGGCTGTGCTCTGTGTTTTGACACAGCAGAGCGCAGAGCGATCGCCACCTGCAGCCAAAGGCAGGGGTGGTAATTCTTATAATTAGGAAACTAAGGCAGAGTGAGTCACCCAAGATCAAAGCCTGCAATTAACCTAGAAACAGGCGCTAGGTTCCCCAGTGCCCATATGCACTGACTGTGCCGCAAAGCAAAGGGCTTCTCTCATGCCAGCATCATTAAGAAACACGCCAGCTTTTAGGGAGCCTATATACAAAGCTCATTTGAAAATTTTATGCCTATTTAAGAGACATCGTCAAAAAGGAGAATAAAAGTTTCATCGTTTGAACAAGACTTTGCGGATGTGAGTGACCTTTGGCTGTGCAGTAATTTAATTTACTGGGAACACGAGCAAAGTCTCAATTAGGTCTGAGAGGACCACTGCACCACCAGAAGAGGAAGAGAAGAGTGAGGATGCAGGGCTGGAGAGCACTTCACCTCGTGGGGAGGCTGCAGGGATAGTACAAGGCAGCAAGGAGGCTTCCTGGCCAAAGCCAGCATAGTTGCTTGCTTGGCATGTAAAGTAGGTTGGCAAGTGCTGCAAGAAGAAGTGAAATACTGAAGCAAAACACTCAGCTCTCAGACCACAGGCAGTTTTCTTTAAAAACTGAAGCCAGGTGCTGTGGCTGTCATGGGAGACGCTGAAATTTGGTAGAAGCCCAGGAAAAAGCAAGGGAATGACAGAAAATAAAATCAGGACGGTGACAGATTCTGAATGCTGCTTAACAAAGGGAAGCTTCAATGTTATTTGGTACAATCTTTACGGGCCCAATTTAACTGTTACACGTTAAAATTCTTACATTTTCTCACATTCTCACCACTCAGAATTTTTTGTTCCTCTTATGGAGAATTGTTTGAAGCCTGTGGTGACCCCTCCAAAGTCTCTCAATGTCCTGAACAGAAGGTTTGCCAGAGTAAGGCACAGTACATCAGACACAGAAAAGGCTGATAAGGATGGACAGCAACAGAAATAATCCAAGAGATGGGACCACTGCTAGTGTGCTGCCTGTAGGAAAGCTGCATAGCAGGTCAGTGGGCAGGACAGCCTAACAGAGAAATACTGCAGTAAAGAAAATTTAAGAAAGGGTGTCTGCAGACACAGAGTTTTTCTGTAGCATGTTTTAATCCAGCAGAAACATGAAATTACACAACTTCCTATAGGAACTCTTCATCTGAGACATGACAACTGCGTGTACCAAACGCCCGAAACTCCCCAGCCAGGAAAGTGTTAGTGATCCCATTCAGCCTGATGTCCACAGCTCAAACTGAAACTGCCCACTTTTTGCTTTTGAACTGAAAAGCAGTCTTTCATTTTAGATACTTCTAGTGGTTTTTTCCCCCTTGTTTTGCTTTTTTTTTTTTTTACTTAAAAGCATTCATCTGAAATAAGTTTATGCCAGTGACAATTGAATCAAGGCTGTGGGGGCAGTTTCTCCATATATTGCATTTATAAAGATAACGTTTTAGAATTGGCAGTTGCTACCCTTCTAAAGTGTTATCTTCGTAAATGCAATGTCTAGAAACATCAATTAGGCAACATTCCACTTCAGCTACTTGATTGACTGAATTTAGGATGAGATCCTCTCCTTCTCCTCCCAAAAAACCAGTTAAGAATCTGATCTGCAAACACTTGCACAGAAGAATCACTCACTCAAATTCTTTATGCAAGGTTTTCAAGGACACTCAGAGTTTAAAAGCAGTATTCTTGGGTCTCCAAAGCTTCCCCACACCTAAAGAGTCCTCAGAAATCTGGATTCAGGTCTGCTTGCAGCACTAGTACACACTTTACGTATACGAACTGCCTGTCACTGATGTACTCATTGAAGTAACTGCAGCCAGGGCTCACCTCTTTTATATATTTACTCATCCACACATGGGGCACACATTTCAAATAGCAAGCCACGTATACAGGGCAACGTTTAAATCAGAGTACACAGAGAGTATCTGTAAGTGCCTTCATTAAAGCAATGCTTTTACTAATGCACACACACAGCTGAACGCCAGAAGTACAGTGCTGCTTTTAGGATTTCAGATACAAACGTAAAGGTATTCAGACCCATGGGTGGAAACCATCAGGTCACAGCAGTTCCTTGTCCCCCAGCATCCTCTCCCTGCAGCTCACAGCACTTCAGTCATCCTGCAGCCTTCACTTTCTTACACAGGCCTGCAACACCCATGAACAGGGAAATACCAAACGCAACCAAACCCTCACCAATGCCAATTGCTGTGAAATCAGGAGGCATCCTTTCAGCACCCTGCTGTGTGAGTGAGCAGAAAGCTTACCCCATCTGGTAGTGCCCTCCAGCAGACAGCACTCACAAATTCATTTGTGTCATCTTCTTTCCGGTCCTTGTCCAGGACGCTCTTGACCGTATCAAACTTGAATGTCAGGAGTGTCTTTGAGAGGCCTTTATAGTATAGGTAAAGGGAATTATTTTCGCTTCCTAGAAATAAAAAATACAGAAGATTATGTTCTGGAAGAATAAAAAAAAATAATAATACAGTTTCTTAGCTCTTTTATTCTTTCAAGAGATGACATTTCCTCCCAGTAGTTGTCATCATACTTGTGGTGCCTTGGCAACTGGGCATGCCCCACAGCAAACTTTTCACAACACTTAAAAACAGAACAGGCTTTATTACCAAACAAGTGCAGTGTGCAGTGCATAAAATAAACTGAATCCCAGCTTTTCTCCAGAACTTCCTTAGAGTCAAGGCCTTTGAGTATGGCATCTACACTAGCATGTGGAACGCCTGCTCAGCTTTACAGCTGTGAGGCAGGTAGCACTGTCACACATTTGCTTGCAGTAATCGAATACGACAGTAGGGCCCATGGAAGTTTAAGTGAGAGAAACTAGACAGTGAGTAAGCTTTATTTAAAATCCATCCCAATTTCTGCCTGACAAGCTACGGAGAGATCAGAGAACACATGCTAAGGTTCCTGCAGTGCTGGAGCAGCCATCCCACTCATCTCAGAGGGATCAGTCTGTCCATGCTTTTCCACCAAGACCTGAGGATTTGCAGAGGTTCAATAGTCCAAAAAGCAGCAAAAAAACCCCAGAAAGAACCCAAGGAGTAATTGCTTAAGGATGAGTTAGTCTTCTGAAAGTTGTTCATGATGAGGGAGTCACTGCTTCACCAGGCAGAATGCTGGGCTAAGTGACAAGTATGTGACCCACTCACATGGTATAGGCTGCTAACCTTCCTAAGAAAAATGCAGGAAGATGCATCAGTTGATAAATTTGAAGGGCAAATGTCGTATGAATACCAACTATGTTAATAAGCAGTTTTTGGTGGCAGCAAGTCTGAACTGTCATACACAAAGACCTCATCTCAAACGAAAGGAAACCAAGTAGTAGTCCCTTAGGTCAAGCTGCTTACATCATTCCCAGGACAGCTCAGGACAATCCTCTATTAAGAAGTCCATGAGCTACAGGGCACACTGCTGGTGTGCTTTGCAAACGAAGAGGCAGGAGCCCCAAGGAGTCCCACCAGCACTGGTCAGGGCAGCTGCTCTACTCACCACAGGCAATGTAGTCTCCGTTGGATGCCAGCCCTACAAAATTCTTCTCATTGATGTGGCCCTTGAAGGAGCGCAAGCAGTGAGGTTTCCCTACGTTCCACAGCTTCAGCTGACTGTCTGTTGACCTGAAAACAATACGTGAAGTTACAGTGCTGCCATACGGCAGGTAATCCTTGCTTGAAACACTCCTCCTGAACACCCTACTTGCAGTGTTAATGTGGGAAGTCTTAGTGTGCTCGCAGAGATTTATCCCACTTTCAGTCACATGCAACCCAGCTTGAGCCTGGCAAAGTATCTGTTCTTTTTAAAAGCCTGTCAAAATGTTTGAATAAAATACTTCCTTGCAGTATTACTCTTCCTCTTTTCTATCAATTGCCGAGTCCTCCACTGAACTGTACAGCCTGTGGAACATCACTGCCTCCTCCAAATCCTTGCAGATCTGGGACATGATTTTTTTCCAACTTCTACAGCACAGAGGAAGTCTGTTCCTTCCCGCCTGCTTGCTGAAATTCTCATTCATGCTTTTATAGAATTCAAGGCAGCCTCCTCCCCTCTGGCTGCCTTGAAAGCATGACGTTCTCCTCCTGCCCAATACCAAGCAGCAGCACATAGAAACCTATGGGGCTTCAGCATTACTACTTGCATTAAATTCACGTGGATTTCTCTTGTGTAACTGAGACTACCTAAGATATAAATTTCAAACTTCCGCTGTTTTCACCTTGGCAGCAAAGCTAAATATTACTTTTAGAAATATACAACTCCATAGGGATTAAATCAAAATCAATGTTTTTCATTGTCCCCCCCCTTGCAAACATACCCGTCTTCAAAATGTTTTTCTATTTACTGTGAGCAAACCTCCCTTTCGGCAAGAGCAAGGTACTGTAGGTGCAGACTTCTTGGGTTAGCAGAGCTCAAGCAAACTGGGAAGATCCCAGATCCCAGGGCTAATACGTTTCCTGATGGGACTCGAGCTGATGGGACTCGAGCCTCTCTTACCTGCCAGGATTTATTATCTAGCCAGGCTCTGATGTCCCAGCGTTCCCTGACTTATGGCTGTGAGCACATCAACAGCTCTTGATGTGGAAGGGACTGGAGCTCAGTTAGCCCACCCTCGAGAAAACAGATAGAGCTGTTCTGATCTTAAATTTGAAAGAGAATGGGAGTAGGACCTGTCATCTGGCTGAGATGGAAGAAAGGGGAGGCTGGTACAGGCTGCATCACCCAAACTTACTGCTGTTCAAACACTGGGAGTTGGAAGGAAAAAAAAAAAACACTCACAATATCCATCAAATTTTCCCAATGTAAAACATTAATCCAATGTCACATTTGCCTAAAAATATAGCATGAGAGAGATGCACCTCGTGCTTTACTGCAAAAACCTTATCTCAGCCCTCAATGACAGCTAGAATGACAAAGGAGAGATAAGGGAGCTGCAGCAAGATTTGTTAGTCATATGTAATAACAGCATGAGGTCAGACCCTGATGAAGGTATGAACTGTATCTCCAACACTGCAAGTTGAGCAGAAGTGCTATCTTAGTCCCAGGGCTTGACGAGGGAGGCCTAAAAGAAAGCATTCAGTTTCCCTAGCTCCACTGCAGCTCACTCTCCCTTCCCTTCTACTCACCATCAGAGCAATGCAAAGAAAAGGTAGAAATATATATGCTACTGTTTTTTTTGTTTTTTTTTTTTTGTATTTGTTGGTTTTTTTCATTGTTGTTGTTTGTTTTGCCTTTTTTTTTTTATTTCCCAAAAGTACAAGGACATTGCCTTCTTTGCTGTTAGGATAGCAGTATTATTTTTAAAACGGCACATTTTAAAGCTTCAGAGTTGCCTGGAAACTAAAAATTTCAGAAGGCAGAGTGAAGCAGCAGAAGAATAATCCCTGGTCTACAAGCTGTCAGGTTCCTGTGACAGCTTCTGCTATTAGCTAACCCATCAAGACGACCTTATGTATACAGGCACTTAACCTCCGTGTTTTAGTAACATACATTCTAGATCTTCATTAAAATAAAAACACTCCACATTAAAAGCATTCAATTAGTAATAGGTTAACAATATTCTATCACGCTCTAGCCTTTTTTTCACTCTTTAGGACAAGTGTGCCATACAAGATGATGGTTACCTGCCACCGTGCCACAAGGATAAGAACAGGCCATTGATTCTTCTGCTGTGACACTGCTCTTCTGGTTTCATACCCTCTCCAAAAAAATATCATGGATGTGCTGCTCTGGTAAATCTGCCTCTCTGTAAATCAGCACTGTAATCGATGTGTTGTGCTAAATACCAGGCAGTTCTGAACATTCTCGAGGTCAAAACCTAACTCTACAGGGCACAGTAAATCAATGCAATCTATAAAACAGCTTTATCTAGAAATCTAAAGAATCTGAATATACAAATATTTTTTTTCTTTAAAGGAATTTGTGCTGGCTTTTGGGAGTCACTACTGCTGACTCCCCAGTTTGCAAAATTAAGACATCTATTCTCTCTGACGCTCCCCCTTTTGTTCACAGAAAGATAGGAGAACCCTGGAGTTAGCTGCCTCCTCCTGTTACTGCCTGTCCAATTCCAACAGCTCTATCGATATTCCTCCCAGGGCTCAGAGATAACCACTCTCAACTGGACAGCTCAAATAGGACAGGGACGTTCTACCCCACGGCATCCTATGCATCGTGGCTGTAAAACGTTCTCAGTCTCCTTATGTTTCTAGTAAACACTTTCTTCTAAGTCAGATTTGGTTCAAAGCATTCAATTTAATTTGATCTATGTTCTAGGTATGAATTTGCACCCTTACAAAGAGCTATAACACTAATGGAAATAAAAAGAGGAACTGATTAAATATAAACAGCACTGGGGAATCTTCCATCATATTGCTCAGATCAGCATAATTCACCAGCAGTCTGAATACTCAGATGCATGCCTCAAGAAGCTCTGCTTTAGCTCCAGGCTGCTAGAGCAAGCTGTGAGAAAACACGGGGAGAACTGAGATAGACAGACATCTACTCAGCTCAAGGAAGTAAGCTGGGACTAGATTTAACCCTGTGATTTCTTCCTGCTGCCCTGATGTCAACACACTCACATACAACACCTAACATTCCTCTAGCAGCCCATAGCCTCCAAAAGTTATTTGTCTTTTACCCATCGTTTAACAAGGGCTCATCTCTGTTTGGTTCACGTACCCAGTCCTACCAATCTTCCACATGTCATCTGATAGACATACTCACCCCTACATGACTGAAAACTTACTCAGAATGGAGGCAGCCACATTTGGTTTTGGGGTGGTTCCACCTGAGTTGCTTTCACGTTGTGGCTAAACACCCTCTTCAGCTGTAGCAATACTATTTGATCACTTCTGTCACTCATCAAATGTGCTTGTGCTGCAGATTACTATTCTCAGGCTGCCAGCAGCCTTCTCTGCAGCAGGGCTCTGGTCAGGAGCACCCTCAGCATACAGGCTCTTTAGAGGAGGACCATTGACTCGCAACTTCCCAAAGCTGGGGCTTAAGGTCAGAAGTTGAATCTCTTTGTCTTCATGTTCCTCAAGCTTCTCAGCTCCATACGATAGAGTAGAGCCAAGTAACACGAGGAATGAATTTCTATTTTTGCCTTGAAAAAAGCAAATATCTACTTCCTAAAAGCACAGCAAGTGTGTGCATCCACCCACGCTGGCCACCTTGCAAAGCGCCCGTGATGGCTGCCAGAAACCAAGGGCTACCAAGTTCTTATCCTACATAAAAATAAATACTTACGCAGAGACTATTTCCTCCCCACTCACAAATTTTGCATAGGAGACAGCCTTGCGATGCCCTTTGAACACCATGATGGGTTGCTTAGTGTTGCGAAGATCATAATAGTGGACACAGTGATCTGGAAACGAGAAAGAAGAGGTAACATTTATCAGCTGGGAAGGATGAATGGGACCTCTCATAGGTAATTAGCTCACAATGAAAGTGCTTTCTATGCTATATCTCACTTCATGCTGCAACTGGGGTAAACAATCTGCACAATAGGAAAGGAGTGTTTAAAACAGGCTGCTTCCAATGGCTCCAGAATTCAGTTCCACACAACCCCACTTAGCCCATGTGCAAGGCAGCAGCTAAAAGGACGCTCATCACTCCTGTCTTTCTTCTTGGCATTGTGCCTGGGCAGCCTAATTGCCACTTCTAAGGCACCCCCCCCCCTCTCCTTCCTCAATCTGGCCCCTCTTGGAAAACTGCTGAAGAACCTTAGGCTACGAACTCAGTCTGTCTGCTACTGAAAAGGCAGAAAACACGGACTGAATTTCTCATGCTTACCCTATATGGGTAACCTCTATACTTTTGTTTTTGCTTCTCTCCTTGGGCTTTATTACCAATCAAGAGAGAATAAGCATTTCTGCTTGTGAAAGAGCAGGGACTAAATTTCAGTTCTTTAGATTTAATTCACAGATGTGCTGCAGTGCCACAACCACATAAAAAGGATTGCGACAAAATTAGCAATACATTTTATTTCCTGCACAACTAAATGCCAGTTCCCAGGAAAACGAAAAAGAAAAGCAAGAATGGAAGCCCCCATGAGATCCAAGCCCTAAGGCCACCCACTGCTCTTCCTAGCCTAATGAGGTTAATCAGCTTCTCCCTCCCTGACCTTCCATTGTCAATGCTGAACTTCATTTAATTACCTCCTGCTGCTCTGGACACCCAGGGAGGGCAGGCAACACCATGCGCATGGAAGCAGAGCAGGAAGCCTCCCTTAGAATTACAGAATCATTAAGGTTGGAAAAGACCTATAAAAGAGCATCTAGTCCAACCCTTGACCCATCTCCACCATGACCACTAAACCATGCCCCTCAGTGTCACATCTCTGCAGTTCTTGAACACCTCCAGGGACAGTGACTCCACCACCACCCTGTACAGCATATGCCAAAGCCCAACCACTCTTTTGGAGAAGAAATTTTCCCTCATATCCAAACAGAAACTCCCCTGGTGCAACTTGATGCCATCACCTCTTATCCTGTCACTGTTATCTGGGAGCAGAGGCTGACCCCCACCTCAGCACAGCCTCCTTTCAGGCAGTTACAGAGAGCAGTGAGGTCTCCCCTGAGCTCCTCTTCTCCATACTGCCCCATCCCATTCCCTCAGCTGCTCCCCATCACACTGTGCTCCAGACCCCACACAGCTCCACTGCCCTCAACCTTCTAACCCTGCAATTCAAGGCACCCAGATATCATTCAACACTGCCCTGATCTTCCTTCTGCTGAATCAACGCATCACCACTGGAAGACTATCACTAAGATTACCCAGAAATGAATTTAAATGCCAATAGCTGCAGCTATTTCTGTATTTGCATGGTTTTGAAGCAGGGCTCTCAGTCTCACAAACAGTGCCTGGCTGTCTCAGCATCCCATGTGCTTTGGGAGATAACTGGATTCCCATCGATCAGGTCAGGCCACAGCAGCTCCTGGAGCAGAGGCAGATTTTCACCCATGTTAAGGGACTAACTGCAGGACACAGAGGGACAGGGCCCTATGGCAGAACCTGCAATCAGATGTGGCAAGCAGGCAAGCTGTCTTCTCTGCTTTAAGTGCCTCATTTCACTGCATATCAATACAGGTCTAGTGGCCTCTCCGCTGAGTTTACAGCTCTCCCCTCTCCAACGACGTCCTTCTGGCAGTGCAAAAGCAGACGCTCTGAGTCTCCTCCATCACTGACACCAGGATTCGAGCAGGCAGGGCCTGGCCAAGCCTTCCCACTGGGCTCAAGCTCTCCAGCTGCTGCTTCCCTTCCTGCTAGCACCAGGACACTGGGAAGTGCCATGCTCCCAAGCACTCCTTCTTCACTCCTCTCCAAAACAGGAGCCTCAATGGCTGATGCTATTGACCAAAATCCCAGAGCTTTCCTAAAATACAGGCATTTGATCAGCTTTAGAACAACACAGTGATGTAACACGCATACTCAACAGACGGGATAATTTTCAAGAAGTCAGATTAAGTGTTAACGTTCCTTCTGTACAATCTGAGCATCTTTCTCCCCTCTATCTCTCTGAAGCTTGCTTCAAACCAGGCAACGTTTGCTAACCTGGCCAGCATACACCTCCTGGAGCTACACCTCCTGGAGCTAAGAAACAGTTAACTGGCAATTGTTATTTTAATGAGCAGAAATGATTCTAGCAGGGCTTCCCATTAGGAGCCAGTTAGTAGATAAGCCTTTCAAACCTATTTTTGCTCCCAGTTTCAGCCTCCTCTCCAGCTGGCCTGTCATTAGGATGCCTCTGGATCACCAGGTTTTATCCTTCAGAGAGTGACAGGGAAAGGGGGATCTGCGGATGGGCTGAATGAGATTGTGTCAAAGCATCTGGACATTGGGGAAAGGCTAGAGCTGCAGCAGGAACCAGTGGTCCATTGCAGCAAAGGGACGTGGAGATGCACTCGCCTCCAAAACATGGCAACAAGCAGCTGGAAGTCCGCTGGCACCCGGCACGACGTGCCTCCCTATGGCAGCAGGGCAATCAATCACTGTCTGCTCTCATCACCGCAGGGCCGGGGGAACAGCAAGGCCAGTGGGCTCTAAAATTAGCCACTTAATTATTAATTGATTATTTCAGCAGCCCAAGTGTTGGCGCGCAATTGAGGTTTTTTTTTTTTTTTTAATTCGACTGAAGCAGCTATTTTTAAAGCAGTTATGTGAAGACGAACGCATACTGCATTCATTAAAACCAGAACAGGTGGTCATGTTTTACAATTAAAGAGATACTCTCTCTTTTAGGCCATATGGACTTTCCACAAACAAGATAAAAACGCCATCTGCTGAGGAAGAGCAGAGCCTGAAAACGAAGCTAAATGAGAGGAATACAACTCCCAGGTAGCCCAGTATGAGCCTCACGGGGTGGACTGGGATGAGGGCACAGCAGCACTGAGTGCTGTGCAGTCCTAGGAGCTAGCTGGTGGTCAAGAGAGTGCAGTGGGCATTGGGGGGACTCAGCCCCTAAGCTCTGCAGTTATCTTCAACTTTTTAAGAAGTTTGTGCATTTCTGGAAGCCACAAGTGTTTGTTTCGTTGCCAGTCGTGTACAGCTCCAGTGAGATCTATTGGTGATAAGTGGACAGTTGGACTGCATGATCTCATAGGTCTTTTCCAACCTTAGTGGCTCTATGATTTCCTTGTTTTGTTGTGCATTAAAACCATCAGCCAGCAAGTTTTTTTTTGTTAAGCTCTACGGTTCCCACCCCTGACCCAAAAGCTCACTTAAACCAATTTCAATTTCCAAATGATATTTCCACAGTTAAAAGCCTCACACGTAACCCTCAGGCAGCAGCAGCTCCCAGCTTCACTTCTGCTTCCGTGTTCTGGCTTAATTGAAATATATACAAGATAATGGAGAGGAGTATGTATACATACCATAACAAATTAAACACTCCGAAGCAATTCTCATCTAATTCAATGTCACTGCAGACACCGAGCACGACAGAATTCTGCTGCTGCTCCTCCTGAATTCAGATTTATCAGGCCATATTATATCTGTTTTTATTGCATTTTTTTTAATGGTCTCAGAAGGCAAAAAGGGCAGCTCAGCTCTGCCACCAGTGCCAGGAGGTCACAGACCACAGGGCTGAGTTTTTAAATAGAACTTCCAGAAGTGCTTACTTCCTCAACCAAGCAGTGCTTTCACCTTCCAGCCGCCCAGCGACAACTCATCAGGAATTCAGACTTTCTGCTGCAAGCACTGACAAGTCCAGCAAAACTTCCCAGAGATGTCCCAACCCCCCCAGGAAATACAGCCTGTGTCATCAGAGGTTGCCATCACTCACTGGGCGGCTCGTAAATTAGCAAGGCAAGCAGGAGGGCTGGAACACGGCGAGGAGATGAGCATCTCCATCTCAGCTTGGGCACTGAGGAGGGGGTGAGGTGAACAAACTGATGATGTGGTTATACCAGTGCAGGAAATACTTCCACAAAGAGAGCTGGGAATTGCTAATGGACCCGGCAGCAGCTTCCATAATTTTATAAGATGTAATTGCTCTTAGATTTTCGGTGGTTTAAACAACAATAAAAAAGAGCAAAGTCTGTGTTTTTGCCAAAAATGCTTTTCCTTACACTTAGGGAGATTTGCTGCTAAAGTTCACAAAACAGCTGTTACCAGAAGGCTCTAAATTCACATCACCTATTGAAAAGCTCTTAAAATATACCGAGGAGCAACTTTGGATCAAGGTTAGCAAAGAGCATCGTAGGGCAGCAGATTTTTTCCCCCCCCTAATGTTTCTGTGAGTACCTGTGCATCGCGGCGGTGACGCACAGACCAATCCAACTCTCCAGGTACCAGCAGTTCCAAGCCACATTCATCTTCCACATCACGTCCTTCACCAGCAGCATTAACAACCCTACTGCTCCAAGTACCTCGCAGCCCTCCAAAGCTTTTTTTCTGACTGAGAACCACTTCCTAGAAGGAATATCAAGCCAAGGACAGCAAAACAACAGCTCACCTGCAAAGCAACAGCTTTGTATTCAATAGAGGTAGAGACTAGAAAGCCCCAGGAGCTGCACGCAAAGGTCCTGTAGCTCTCCTCAAGAAAACTGAATTGCTGGCAAACTGAAGACCATTTTTCTTACTTCATTCAGAAATGCATATTTCTCAGCTGTTCAATATTTATATTATTGATCTACTCAAAACATAAGCAATTTAAGTTGTTCTTATTTTTCAAGGGCTTACATGCTTGGAAATGCCAGTGGTGCTGACTGCTGCACGTCAGATGCTAATGCCAGCATCCAAAACTAAAGCTGGAAAGCAGTAAATCAGATGCTACATAAAGACTGTGAGAGGCCTTCCGTCATCCAAGCACATTTCAAATTATTATTAATTTTTTTAAAATAAACAAGGGATCAAATCCACTTC